ATATATTTAATTTATATATATATATATATATAAATATATATAATGGATCTATGTATGTGTGTTCAGATTCGTTAGTGACCCTTGCTTTGTAGTGCTTGTCTGCCTGTGCTGAAGGCAGGCGAGCACCAACCTGAGTCTCCCTCGACACCTTGTATAAGAACCTATGTAGGTAGTATTATTAGGGGTACCCCTTAAAGGGTACCCCTTCTGAACCCTACTTTTTTGGCTCTCTTAAAAGGGACCTTATTGAGAGGGTCTATATTTTCGAGGGTCCCCCTAGTCCTAGCTCCCACTATGATGACCTGGCAAGGATAGTGATCTCGTGGTGGGCTTGCGCCCGGGGAGATCGGTACAGCTCTCAGAAGTTATGGGTATGGCCCGTGGTAGTTTGGGGCTACAGATGGCTACAGCAATTCAGGGCATTCGGGTTCAAGGAGTTGAGGTTTCGACTCAGTGAGTTCCCTGCGGAGCCCGACAGCTAACGCTGGGCCAGTCTGCCCAGAACCACTAATGATTCACTGATGATCACTAATGCTGTGTTTTTGGCTTTTCTCCGAGGAAGTGAAATAGTGATTGGAAACAAAGGGTTTGAAACAGCCTCCCTAGCTTGTCGAGTTTGTTGCGTGCTGTTGACAATCCGCATCAAGCACCAAATGAGCTGCAAGACCTCTTGCGTCTCTAGACTCTCAATCTTCGAAACTCATGCTGCTAGTAGTGCCGTCATCCCAAGGAGGTGTTGTGCAGTAGGTTCAAGACTATCACCGTGCAGGAGAGAGGATTCTCGACTCGAAAGCCTAAACTTAACCTGCTTAGGATTTAGTTTGTTCAAAACAGTGAGTCTCCTGAGACCCTACACAAGCTTCAGGTCCATCTGGTCCCGCAAACCGGAGACATTGTGCTGCTGGTGGACGAAACTGGCCGCATGGACGTGGCCCAAGTCTGGACATGTGTTGAACAAAAGCAATGCCATTTTTGTTTTTTGTGTGTGTGTGTGTATGTGTGCATTTTTTCGTTGCAGTCTTACTGTGTTTTGCCTAGTTGCCTGCAATGGAACCTCGAGCTGCGATGCAGAAGCGGTGATGCCTAAATGCCAGCATGCCCTGCATGAGTATTCTGGTATTGATCAGGAATGCCAACATACATACTTGCATGTGCAGAAGCAAACGCTGTGTGTCTGTATGTGTATGTTGTACATGATTTGCTCGTTGAAGCATGACCTTGACGCTTGCAATTATGATGGCTATCAACATTTTTGCTGTCATCCCTCTCCCTTTCTCAATCTCTCTCTCCTCCACTCCCCTCGCCTCCCCTCGCCTCCCCTCCGTTCCTCCTTCCCTCATCTGCACACGGACGCCGGACTATACTCATAGCGGCTATGCACCGGGCAAATCCGTGGGGCCCCGAAGCAAAAAAACGTGAACCCATAGCTTTGGGCATGCAAGGTCAAGCGGCTCAAAAACATCGTGTTCGAGGCAAGACCATACCACCGCTCCATTCCGGATGCCTGAGCCTGCACCGGTGTGCCTTCTTGAGTTGACACAACCCGAGGCAAAGCTGATCCTGCAAAGTATCAAACACTTAGGGGTACTTAGAAATAGTTTTTAATCTTTGGTTACTATAAACCCTAAGAAGCAGCTAAAATTATGATTTTTGCTAGGGGTCTAAGTTCAGTATAGGACACCATTCTGTCAGCGGTTCCGTCAAACCATGACAAAGAGATCCTTGGGCTGAGCGCCTATCGTGACGAACGGTGTTGGTCCAGTTTCAGCACGGCCCGTTTGGGGAAGACATAGCTTTGAAACATATGCTGAAACGGCAAAGCTGCTAGGACCTGCTAGGCTTTATTACACTTTACACTAAATTGCAACCCGAAGTAGTGTTAGAGTGTAGACTTCACCAATACCTCTACCACTGCTACAAGCACTGCCACAACCAGGGTCACTGCAAAAACGTGGAGACTGTGCCGGCGTAGACGACGAAGGGGACCTCGACGACGATTACGAATCTCATTGCTTGCGCTACTACCAGTGTTTCTATGCTACTTGTACTGACTACCAGCCACCAGCAGTAGTTGTGACACATCATCGCACGGTAAGCAGCGGTAGCCATCTTGATTGAGAGGCTTGTTCAGAATAGAAAGCAGGAAAGCGAAATTTGATGTGACACCCTGGAGCCAAACGAGCTCCAATTGAGCAGGCTCCGACGGTTTTCGCCAAGCACCACGATGATTGGGCTTTGCAACCTTTAAGCAGCCTGCGTGGCTGGTGGGATCGTGGGGTGCGTGGTGGTTCGGTTGGGATTTGGTCGAGGTACGGTTTCTTGGGGGTGTGTGAATCACCAGGTACTCGGCTACTAGCAGGATTTGTTTCCGGGCCATCACAGATTTGAGTTGGATCTTGAACAGTACGCGTTTCGATGAGCCCAGCATAGCCCAGCTGACCGATAGCTTGGAGGCATTCCTTGTTGATCTGTACAACCGGCTTGCGCGGGCTTGGTCTGCACAGTGGAAACCTTGGCCGTATTTAGTCGTGGTTGTGCCGGCTATGGTAATGATTTTCACACTCGGGTTGAGTGTTGCAAGTTTGGGATCTGTTCAACCCTAAAAAACCCCAAACCCTAAACCCGAACCTCGCCTGGAGTGTCCGAGTGTGGGCCGAAACACGATGCAGAGCCCACTCTAGGGACTCGAAAGTTGCGAAAGGGTTTAAGAAGGGTTTAGGGCTTATAGGGTGTCGTGAAATATACTATATTGTCAGGCACTTCGAGTATGCAGTCCCAGGAGCTTTGCTATGACACAGTCTCGACACTTTCCCTCACAATCAAGGCTCGTTTGGACATCCAAGTCCTAAGCACAGATGCTTGAGGATAAAGATCTCTTCACTTTGTAGTACCACATAAGCACAACCAGCCGCGGAAGACACTCATTGCCAATACTCCTCTGTGTGTGTATAACTGTATGTGTGTGTACCTACTCATGCATAGGTTATTTTGTTGTGTGATGGTGTGCGTGTGTGCGCATACAGCTCACGAACCCACACATTGCGTGCATATGCAGAAGCCTACATATGCCGATCTTTGCACATACTCTTCCCTACATACCTACCCTCCTACCTTCCTTCCTACCTTCCTTGCTACCTTCCTACCTGCTCAGCTACGTGCATATGCAGAAGCCTACATATGCCGATCTTTGTACATACATGCGCTTCCCTACATACCTTCCTTCCTTCCTTCCTACCTTCCTACCCGCTCAGCTAGCTACCTATCTGCTTGTCTATCTATTTGTCTGTCCTTCAGTCTGTCTATCTATCCATTGCTTCGCAAAGTCAGATGCAGATGCGGCGGCCTTTGGTAACTCTCGGATTTATACCCAAAGGGTCCTATGTAATGTTATGGGGGATACTTCCCCAAACCATAATAGTATAGTAGTTCCTAACATGGGAACCCTACATTCTACTATACAGGTACATAGGACCCTTTGGGAAAGTCTTCAGAGTTCTGTGGAGCAGGTGCTGGGTCGAAGGTGACAACGCCATGCTCTCCGAGGATGGAAGAGAAGCGTGTGAAGGGTTGAGGCATGGGTGTACGTCCGTCGGGTTTAGGGTTTCGGTTTTTTCTGGCGATTGCTGCAAGTCCTGACGCAAAAGGGTCGGGTTGAGGGTTTCTGCGCAGTCCGGACTTTGGATTTGGGGATGTTTGGTGGAGGGTTTAGAGACTGTCGGGGTTTTGATCTTTCGACCGTAGGGTGTAGGCTGTGAGCTTGGAACGTAAGGAGTAGGGGTTTGAGGCTTCAGATTTGTGCTTTAGGCCTCATTGATGTTTGATAGCTTTTACCAGGTCATGGCACTTGCTGTTACGCGTTGTGAAGCTGTATCACGTGGTTCTCGAGAGAGATCATGTGGTACAAATTGCATGTTCAGGTTGGTTATGATGCTGTGCAGGCAGCTGAAGCAAGAAAAGAACTTTAAAGAGCTTTAGAGGACCTATTGAAAACTAACAGGCCCCAAATGCCTTCAAACCCGCTCGGCTCCAAAAAGGCCTTCCGAAGCCAAGAAACAGCTCATATGGATTCAACAAAATACCAGCCCTGAGAGAGTGGGCTCGAGGCTGGGAGGAGCGTTGAGCTTCAAATGGGCCTTTTGCAGGGCTTTCGAGGGCATTTGAGGGCATTTGAGTGTGGCTACTTCCCTGCATTGGATGGAGGCCTCTGGACCGGGCCTACCTTCAAAAGCCTATTTAAGCTGGCGGCCCCAGGGGGGGGGCCACCAGCCAGGGATAGCCCAACCGTCTATGAGAACTTACTTCGGCGCAACTTTTCATTCTGGGGAGTTTGGGGGAGTCCCATGCACAGTGGTCAAGGATTGCTCGAGCAGGTCTTTTCACTAGAGCCCGAGGCGCTGATCATCTCTTCCGAACTCGAATGAAATTTACACCCAGAATAGCCCAAAACCCTCAACCACAAGCCTAAACCCTATAACCCCCTAAACCCAGTAAGCCTTAAACCCCTGTAATAAACCTTATAAGCCCTAAACCGCAAAAAAATATAACTGACGCTTGGCAAGGACTCCCGTATCTTCGGTTGGTTGCCATCGCACCGCTTGGAGGCCGCGGCCAGGGATGTCCTGAGTGTTGAAACCCAAAGGTTTGGGGCCGTTTAGGGGTTCCGGGCAGTTTCAAGGGTTTTCTGCAGTTGGGTAGTTAACTTGGACGGTGATTTTGGCCAGGACTGAAACTGCAGCTTCGTTAGAACCCCAGCTTGCCAGTGCTTTTGCTTGAAGGTGCCAGGGGAAACCTAAAGCCCCTCCTAAGAGTCTGGTATAGGTTATAGGGCTACGTCTCGTTTTTCCGACAAAGAGGGCGAATCCCAGGAGGCGAGATAGGTCCAATAAACGAGGATCCCCAACAAGCTGGGCAGCCTGGGTGGCAGATTGAAAGGTACGGTTTAGGGCTTTTGGGGTTTACGGTGGGTTTAGGATTTAGGGTTTTTTAGGGCTTTTAGGGTTTAGGGTTGTAAACCTCTATAAGCGCCTGCAGCGAGACCTCCCTAAAGGCGGTGGCGATCGCCGTCGTATGGCCCCCTTGGCGCAGTACCTGGCTGTGGGCCTGGCCGGCTTCCGGGCGCTTTCGAAGCCCCTATGGTTTAGGGTTTAGGGCTTAAGGGTCTAAGGGTTTAGGGTTTAGGGATAGACCCTAAACCCTAAGGCCTAAGGTTTTTCCTAAACCCGAAGCCCTCAACCCTAAAACCCGAAAAGCCCTAAACCCTAAACTTCCAAAACCTTAGCCATGGTTTAAAGTTCTCGTCCCTAAACCCTAAACCCTAGCGGTTCCTAAGGGAAATAGACCTTAGCCATGGGCTAATATTCTCGTTGGAGGATGGTCAGGGTTTGGCTCTGGACTTTTTTTGGATAGGTGGTGCATGCCCTCCTGCTATTCCAACCGGCTTTTTCGTGCCCTTGAGTAGCGAGGCCTTTGAGGACGGCACAGCAGAGAAAGACAGAGAGAGAGAGAGGTGCATACCTGCTAGCACGGGTAAAAGTGGTAGAGCCTTGGGTCACGGAGTCTGCTGGGTGCTTGCTCAGAAACTTTACCCAAGATAGCGGGTGAGTATATTCGGTATCATGCAGGAATATGTTTCCTTACTATGCTCTCCCCACCGAAGTTCGTATCCAGACGCCGATCGAGCTTGCCAGGCTTGAACCTGGCCGAGTGCGCGATGCCTTGTCGCCGGAGGGAGTGCGGTCGCTGTGCTGCTGTCGCATGCCGGTACAGTTGCTGCGCCGCCTCTGGCGAAAGACCGTCTTACTGGGGCTCATGGAGTTGGGGTGTAAGTCTGCAGCATCTTGAGCTAGAAGCACTGTCCCCAGAGAGCCCAATACCCCTTAATTGAGGAATATAGCTTAAATCATAGGGACCCTAATATTATGGTTTAAGCTATATTCCTTAATTAAGGGGTATTGGGCTCTCTGGGTCAGTGGTGAAAGCATATGCGGTGCATGACCGGCGGCATTTTGGATGCCTGCAGAGTAGGCTCAGAAATGGTTTGGGGTTTGCTGCAGGGTTTTCATTTCGAGTTGGTAGCAGGTTAAGTGTTTTAGGATCGCACTTCTGAAACTTCGTAGGGGCTTCCCTAAACCCTAAACCCTAAACCCCTAAACCCTAAACCCTAAAACCCTAAACTTCTATAAAAGTCTTTGGATCGACTCAGGGGTGTACGAGTCAACGTTCTTTCGTGCAGGAGTATAGCCGCACCCAGCTGCTCACACAGCATCTATATGGTACCGAGCTCCCGCCCACTGCTTGTCCCTTATAAGCCCAAAAACCCCTAAACATGAAAAACCCTATCCGCCTTCATCCCAAGTCCACAGCCTTGAAGCTTAAACTCTCTCATGGCCCAAGGGGTTTTGCTTCTAGAAAGATTTGGGGATCAAGTATCGTCCACTCACGGTAGACTGCAAACATAGAAGTCGCATGCATCTTGGCGATGAAGGATCCCTGAAGACTTCAGGGCAGTAGTTAGATGTGACTAGTCCCTCGGCCTACCCTATAATCGCTTAGCATTGAAGGGGCTAAGTGACGGCGCTAAACCCCTAAGCCCTAAACCCCTAAACCCTAAACTACCATGTTTTCAGGTTCCATGCTATTCTTAGGGCCTCAGCCGTTGAGACCTCTCGGACCCAAAGCTCACCCACCCGGAGCCGCACAAATAAGGTCAAAACCTGCGGGTTTAGGGCAAACAGGAGGATCCTAGAAGAAGCGCCATGGAAAGCCTTCTTTCGCTTTGTTTAAAAGTCTGGTTGGCCTTTATTTTGTTCGTTCGCCTTCTTGTTAAACTCCTGTCGCCTCAACCTATAACCCTTAAACCCTCTTTTCGAACCCTCTTTTGTCCTTAACTCTCCCTGTCTTTTTTTGCTCAAGCGTCCGCCTCCGATCCTGTCTCGTCCCGGGCCCACGGAATGAGCAGAGGCGGATCTGATATGGAATGGGTTTAGGGATATCGGTGTAGGATTCAGGGTTTTGTGTGTTTTCCCTTTCACCTGTGAAGTCTTGATTAGGATCCAGGATTGGTTTATTCATCTTTATATTCATTGTGCGACTGTCCTAAATTCAGGACTCTAGCTGACCCTAGCCTCAGGACTGAAGTAGGGCTCGGTGGACTGGGAATCGGTGTTTAGGATTTCAACTAGAGTCCCTGTGGGGTAGAATGCATGCTGGTAAAACATTGGTTTTCGGATTCCGAAAGACTCACCCAGCAGCTCTTAAGAAAAACAGCCGCTGAACGAGGGGTTTTTGCGGCTGAACTCTCAAGTTAAAGCGAACCCTAAACCCTAACCCCTAAACCCTAAACCCTAAACCCTAAACCCCTAAACCCTAAACCCTAAACCCATCAACCACTTATTTTACCAGAACTCCAGAGTTGCACAGAATCTGCCGAGCCTGACATCGGTGGTACTATGGACCCTATTACTGGGTTCTTGTTAAGGGATTTAATTTCAGTTACCATAATAAGGAAACCATATTATTTACTATAGATCCCCAGTATGGTAACTTAAACTAAATCCCTTAACATGGACCCGATTATCGCTGGCCGCTACCGGAATCCGCTGTTCCGTAGGGCCCTTGCCGATTCTAAAGCAAGGCTTCTCCAACGACAACTTATAAGACTTCAGAGACCCTACAACAGATTCACCTAGGGGCTTATCTAATTACCAGTATTCTTTTGGGGGGCTCCTTAAACTAATTATAGTATAACATACCCTCAAAGCCCTATTCTTATCCTTAATGCTCCTACATTACGGATAGGGGTAGTCTCAGAACCCTAAACCCTAAACCCTAAACCAGGAGCCCAGAGAGCCCAATACCCCTTAATTAAGGAATATAGCTTAAATTACAGGGGCCTAAATATTATGGTTTAAGCTATGTTCCTTACTTAAGGGGTATTGGGCTCTCTGGGAGTTTCCGAGTTGAGACTGCCGAGCTGCCGATCTCCCCCAAACCTCACCTTCTCGCCGTTTACGTTTTCGGGCTTATATACCGAAAACAGCGCCGTCTGCAGACATTGCTAAACACGAGAATAAACAAGCAAGTCTGTATACAAATGTATGTGTGTGTGTGTATATGTATGTATGTATGCATGCATGCATGTATGCATGTATGCATGTATGTATGTATGTATGTATGTTTGTATGTATGCATGCATGTACATATGTATGTACGTATGTACGGGTGCGTGCGTGCTTGCATGAATACATGTATGTACATACGTACAGTTACATGTGTTGCACATGTGTGACATGTTCATATACATATGTATATTTATAGTCAAGGATGAAGGCTTCAGGTGTTGGCCTCTTGAAAATTAGAGGCTTCGGGTTCATGTGGATTGGCTGATATCGACTTTCTATAAAGTGTTGAGTGTCGGGCAAAATGACCGGAGGTGATGCGTCGGCAAACAACCGTCGATTGCAACCAGGCTGCAATTAACCACCCTATAGAGTAACGATGGCTACTGACGGTTAATGTCTAAGACGTGGCTATATCCTTAAAGCCCTAAAACAGAAGTAGGAGTACAAAGCCTTTAACCACCCGTCCCTCCCTAAACCCTAAACCCTAAACCCTAAACCTAAACCCTAACATAAACCAACACACATATCGTCACTTTGGACGACTTCGATGAACACTTCGGGTTGGAGCCAGGCTCGTGGTCCCTAGGCGCACTGGGCTTTTTGGGAAGGCTTTGCTTCCGGGTTTGGGGTATTGGGTTTAGGGTTCAGGGTTTAGGGTTTAGGGTATTGGGTTTTGGATGCTGGTGTAATGTAGGGGTCTGAATAGTTCTTATTACCACTGAGTAATAGTTGTTATTGCTATTCTTTGGTGTCTTCTGCTGAATGTTATACAAGTTACATCCGAAAGCCCAAGTATAATCTCTAGTAATGCAAGAAGCTCCATGCCGTTTGGACAGGGGAAATGGCATGCAGGGAAGCAGACTCCCTAAGCCTCCGCCGGGGAACCCCTCCGAAAACGCCAAGCGCCAAGCCCTGACAGCCTAAGACGTCTTGGCCCCAAGCCTCAAAAGCACCCTGAACGGTAAACCCTAAACCCTAGGTTTAGAAAGCCCTAGAGAATCGCGATGCTGGAGGTTTTGCAGGAGTTCATGGAAGTTCACGTTTAACCGGGAGCTCATTTGTACTGCCAACCTAAGGTTTGGAGGTGCGTAGGGCTGTGAAGGGTTTGAATGTGAAGCTACCACAACATGGAAACTTAAACTTTTTTTATATACTATAGATGCTTCTTATGGTAAGTTAAAAAAGAAAGCTTCTTTGAGGGGTTTGGGGTTTCGGGGGCCCTAGGTCAACATCTGACGGGCGTTGCCTCCCACCACGGATGCCTGTTCTCCCCCTTGACAATCTCGATCCTTGTAATTCGGATAGTGAAACTTGACTGTAAGTAGGAGCTGCAAAAACAGTGGACCCTCATATAGGAGATCTTTAGTAGAAGGACCCTTCTACCACACGTAGACTGCTACTTATCCTCGGCTTGGAAGAAGTGGGACAGCAGCTGTGAAGGTTTATGTAGCCGGGTAATTAATGGGGTCTATATGACATATGATAGGCATTATAGGCATGGGAGTTTCAGGGTCCAGTGCCTGGACTGGAGAGTGTATAGACCTGAGGGTTTGGAGGGCGTAGGGTTCGCATGTGTTTAGTGTCATGTAGGGTTTACGGTTTAGGGTTTAGGGTGGGGGTGTCCCTACACTTATTCCCTGTATGTAGCCGGCACTTGTCCATTCTCGGAGTCATTCACTTTACAGGGTGGCTACCTTTACCTGCCACAATCACGCTTTCATGTGTTCCAGCCGTCTCAGACCCTAAACTCTAAACCCTAAACCCTATTACGGCCTAGTCGTTTGACTTTTCTGGTGCAGCTGGAAAAAGGGCCCGGTCAACAAAAAAAACCTATTACAGAAGCATACTGGGCAGCTACACAAGTTCGGCTGCCAAAGTGCCGCGGTAAACCGGACCAACCCTGAAGCCAAAACCGTAAAGCACCTCAAACGAACCCTAATCCCCTAAAGCCCTAAACCCCTGAACTCTAAACTCCTGAACCCTAAACCCTAAAGCCCTAAAGCCCTAATCCCCTAAAGCCCTAAACCCGTGAACCCTAAACTCCTGAACCCTAAACCCTAAACCCCAAACCACTCTGCCTGCTTCTCTGGATTCTTGGCAACAGGTCGTAGGGTCGTGTTCTGGCAGCCAGCAACCTCAAAATCCCCAAACCCTAAACCCTAAACCCTCAAACCCCAAACCCCAAACCCTAAACCCTAAATCCTACATCCTAAACCCCAGACCCTAAACCCCAAACCCCAAACCCCAAACCCTAAAATCTAAAACCCTAAACCCTAAACATCGGTCACCGAGGCTCCTGAAGGTGACCGTGGAAGTGACGGCAGGGGGCTTGGGATTTCACGGTGTAGGGGTTTAGGGTTTAGGGCTTGGGACTTCAGGGTTTAGGGTTTAGGGGTTTAGGGTTTAGGGTTTAGGGTTTAGGGTTTAGGGTTTAGGGGTTTAGGGGTTTAGAGGTTTAGGAGTTTTCGACAGCCCTGAAACCCTACAGCCTGCCAGGGCTCAGCCTCGGACCCTCAAGCCTTAGTCAGGGTTTAGGGATCAGGGTTTAAGCTCCTACCTAGACCCTCAGAAAACCTACTCTTTTCAGGATTTGTATAAAGAAATCAGTCTCAGGAACTCTAAAAGATAAAGGCTTCTCAGCGCCCAGGTAAACCCAAAACGAAGGCGAAGAGCCCAAAGCCCCAAGCGACCCATGGCCTGCCCACCGAGTCCGACAAGCAT